AATATAACACTTGTATTTTTCCAGCGCCACTAGATTTACCTTTTCTTTTCGATGCTCCTCCGAAGTGTTTCTTCGCCTCCAATTTGTCCTAGCTTCTTTTCTTTGATGTCTTGATCTTCTTGCTTGTCTTCTAGGATCTTCAATACTTCTATTTTAAATATATTCCTTGAGGTGTTGATTCCTTGATCTTTAGCTCAACCACATTTTTGCATCCCTTGGACTAGTAGGGCCATACAAGGTACGTCAAAAGCTAGGCTCTAAAATTAAAAATCTAATGTTCACACCTTAAATTTTTACGAAATTGATTGAAATTTATAATGGGTGGCTATTTCATGCAAATTAGTGTGCCTAGATATTTATGTGGGCCCTATGCCAAAAGCTAGACCTTAGAATTAAAAATATCGCGTTCACACTTTAAAATGTTAGTGAAACTAAATAAAAGCTAGACCTTAGTTAAATAGCGGTCGGTATTTTGTTTAATCTGTGTAAGATCAACATGTGGGTCTCACATTAGAAACTCAAAACTAAAATAAACTTATATTATCTGATCCACCTATTTCTTTTAATCGATGATTAGTTAAGATAAAGACTTACCACGGATAATCCATTCCACGTACCTTACCGTACCTATTTCTATTGAATAAAATTTTTACCCATTATCTAAATAAGATGGGTAAGAGCCGATTCAAATATGTGTAATGGGTTGCAAGTCCACTATTGAGAAAGCTTATATACGAAAAAGAAAATAGCATTCGGGTCTCACATTGTTTAAACTACTTCAGTTACTGCTGTAACCCCTGCAAGCTGATTGAATACGATTGATCTCCATGGTCAGAGAATGAGCATATAGCCACACGCCCGCATCTTTACTTGACCAGATAGAGAACCTGCGACAAATAGCATGAGGCATATGATTCATGATCACTTCGTCGTCAGATCCCTGTAGGAGAATCAAATGACTCATTGGGACAGTTGCCGGAAACAAGCAATCTATAACTGGTCGGCGAGAGGACGAAGACGGACAATTTCAACAGACTTAGCGAAGGGGATGCAAGCGAAAGCGGCAAGATAAGTGCACGGATCTCCATGAAACACACGCTACATGTGCACACAACAAATAAACACCGTTTGCGAAGGAAAATAATGCTGGGAAGAAGACCGAAAGATCCAGGATCAAGAACGGAGGCAGAAGCACGACATCCGGGATCGGAGAAGCGCAAAAACCTCCATTGGAAGTAGCCATGGCGTGGTGGTCATCGATTTCTCTGATCTGTAGCTAGAGAGAACATCTCTTGCTTGCATGCCTCATGAACGTGTTTGCTGATGGTCATCTAACCATGCACACAGCATGCATGACCATGTTGAGTTCATGGCATCACACTCTGTACCATAGTCCATGCACACCCATCGATGGAAGCATGGTTAAATGACCACCAACAAAACAGGTTCGGAGCTGCATTAGGTAGCTAGCCAGCCTCACGCGGCCAAGGAACAAATGGATTGGTAGCTGGATACAGGAAGCTACTGCAGCTTAGAGAGAGGAGCAAGCTAGAAAGCGTTGCGGTCCGCGCCGCGCCGCGCCTATCTGATCCGAGGTGGAAGACGAGACGGAGGATATATGCTGCGGATGATGCCAGCGGAGTGAGGGCATATTCCCCGGGAATAAACCATCCAACAATGATAGAGGGGCCGCCGAGCTGTCTGACGGGCAACACCTTCCTTCTTCAATTCTCCTCCTGCAGATTAGATGGGCCAGCAAGCAAGCATCAGGGGGTGTTTAGATTCGGTGACTAAAATTTTGAAGGTGTCACATGAGAATATCGCATGACGTGTTCGGATACTAATAAAAAAACAAATTACAGAATCCGTTAGTACTCCACGAGGCGAATTTATTAAGCCTAATCAACCCGTCATTAGCATATATTTACTGTAGCATCGCATTGTCAAATCATGGGCTAATTAGCCTTAAAAGATTCGTCTCGCAAATTAGTCACAAACTATACAATTAATTTCGTAATCAGTCTATATTTAATACTCCATATATATGTCAAACATCAGATGGGACAACGACTAAATTTTAAAAGATGGAACAAACACCCCCTCGTTGACTCGTCTAGAAAACAAAATAAAATTCAAGCCAGTACCAGTACTAGGGTCGACGGAGACCCTTTTTTTAAGTGTTAACCACGATGGAGATTTAATTGAGGAATAGCAAACAGATGGTGAGGCTTACGAGATTGCCGTTTGATCGTGGGGGCAGCAACAAGTACATGGGAGCTGACAAACCAGAACGGATAAATAATAACCCTCGCCATGTAAATACAGCGTAACACCTGGATCAGGATAAACAGAAGGAAAAGAAATCAACAAAAGGACAAAGAGAATTCCCGCTCAGATTTTTAACATAAATAAAAGCGCCGAATAACAAAACGTTGCAAATTTTGCGCCACGAAGAAACTGTTTTTTTTTTTTTAGCAGTCGTCAATTTTTTTATAGGATTTAGTAGTCATAGGAGGTGTTCGCTGGTCTGAACTGAAAAGTTCAGCCGGCTGGTTCTCCTCCCGTTGCACTTGTTCATCAAACCAGCCATCAGTGTTTCTCTCTCACAACAATTCAGCTGGGACAGTGTTTTTCAGCCAAGTTTTAGACCAGCGAACGGGCTATAGTTGGTAAGGACTGTTTGTTTCTTCTGCCTTTGGCTTAAGTCAAAAAGCAAAAACAAATAGCCACTATTGAAACTGTCTTCTAATAATAAAGAAATAAAAGTTAGAAGCCATGCTGAATTGTAATTTGGGAGAACTGCCTATAAAGTACTTGGGGATTCCTGTTAGTGATAGTCATTTGACCATGGGGGCCTTTTCTCCCATTATTAAAAAATGGGTAAAAGACTTGACCCATGGAAGGGCAAGCACATCACTTCTGGTGGTAGGCAAATCCTAATCAATTCTTGCTTAAGTAGTATCCCATTGTACTGTATGGGTTTTTACCTCCTCCAGGATGGAGTCCACAAAAAGATGGATGGCATTAGGTCAAAATTCCTCTGGCAAAGAGCTGAGGATAAATTGAGATATCATATGGCTAAATTTGAAATGGTTTGTCGACCGAAGGACCAAGGTGGTCTAGGTATAATCAATACTAAACTAATGAATGAATGCCTTCTTGTGAAATGGATATGGAAGATCCAATCTGAACCTGAGTCTCTCTGGTTTAAAATCCTAAAAGCCAAATATATGAGATCAGGAGGCTTCTTTAACTCCAAAACTGTAGGGAGTTCACAGTTCTGGAAGGGCCTACATAAAATCAAACATCTTTTCAAATGGGGTGCTATCTACAAAATGGAAAATAGGATGACTTGCAAATTCTGGCAGGATTGTTGGGTGTTAAATGTTCCTCTTAAGATTGCTTTCGAGGACCTTTTTGTTCTGGCTAGACAGCATGTTCGCTTGTTGGTTTCAGCCAGAGCTTATCAACCAGCCAATGTGTTTTCTTTCACAACAAACTAGCACCAGCCGAGCTTATCAGCCTAGAAACCAATCAGCGAACAGGCTCAGAAATCCTAACTGTTCTGTTAAAGACTGCTGGTCAGAGGGTGACTGGTTCATTGATTTTCAAGAGGGCTTTGTCTAGTAGGGATTTTGATAGATGGATGGATCTGAAATCCATTCTATCTGCCACCACTTTAACTCATAACATTGACTCTGTCAGTTGGGCTCTGGATAAATCAGGGCATTTTACTACCAAATCTTTGTATAGGTTTCTTACTGATAGAGGGATAACCAGCAAGGTGGCTGGTTACATCTGGAAATGCAAAGTGCCTTTGAAAGTTAAGTTCTTTTTGTGGCAAGTGTTTAATAACAAATTGCAGGTGGGGCAAAGCCTAATCAAAAGAGGCTGGGCTGGCTCGGGTAACTGTTGTGTATGTGGTTGCCCTGAATCTTGTCTGGGCAATTGTGAGAGAGGTTTGGTCTCTGGATTCGGTTCCCACTTCTCTGAATGAGTTTCGCAGTTATTGGCTGTCAGGCAAGGGGCCGTTGCCAGCCAGATTACTCCTTTTTATTTTTGCAACTTTCGCCTGGGCTCTCTGGACTGCCAAGAACAAAATGGCGATTGAGTGCATCTTTCCTAAAATACCTACTGATATCATATACACCGCAATATCATTTATGCAGAAATGGCTCGTGCTACTAAAGGAGGAGGACTGTAAACGCATCGCTCAAGTGAAGGAGGCACTGTTGGTGTGGCTGAAGGCTCTCTTCTAGTATAGCAGCTCCCACTGATGTGGTTGAACTTGAAGTTTTTCCGTAATGCTTAAACTTGAAGTGGTGTTCCCTTTGTAGCTAGTAACCCTAGCAGATGCTGTTATGTTTGCTTCCTTGAAAGCAGAGATATTAATCTCGTTAAAAAAAAGTTAGATGCCAAAGTAGGTCTAAAAGTTACTCTCTCGGTCCACAAAAGAATATAATTATGAAAAACGTGCCAATCAAGCTAGCTCAACTTTGACCAAGTTTATATTAAATAGTATTAACACTTATGTCTTGAAATAAATTTATTGTGAAAATATATTCTATAACTAATCAAATGGTACTTATTTTGTCTCATGAGTGTTAGTACTTTTTTATATAATTTTAGTCAAAATTGAAAGTGTGACTTCTCAAAATATGAGAATTGCATTCTTTTGTGGACAGAGGGAGCAGAAACCAAAGTAGTTCTAGAGGCTTAACGGGCCTTGGGCTATTTTTTATACAACTATTATAATCCAATGTTTTTAGGACAAATAGGACCCACACCACGCCAACGTGTTAATCCAAGCCCGTTGCCATATAAAAGCCTCCGCCCTGGCCCTGGCTATGGTGGTTGCCCTGCCCACCCACGCATACGTGATCCCAACCAATTCCCACTGGCCACACTGGCCAGCCACTGCCGTATCGTCGCTCTACTCCGACACCCAGCACATCAACGGCATCATTGCCCGTCCTCTCTCTCTTGTGAAGGCGAGGCTGATGGCGGTCGCCCACGCCTTCCACCATGATTCCCGCGCCATCAGGTCTCTCTCTCTCTCTCTCTCTCTCTCTCTCCAGAGTCTCCATCCGTGCGCAGCATGCATGACCAACCCCGTCCTCGCGGTTGTGTTCTCGCGCCCATGCGTCCTGCGCTCCCCTCCTTCCCCAACTTCCTCATTTATCCGTCCGTTTCCTGGTCCGCCGGTTCATCTTCATCACTAGTGCATTTGTGCGTCTCGTGTCTCACAGGCCAGCGCTGGAGAACGCGACGGCCACCGCGTCGGTCTTCCTCGCCGAGCACGACACCGCCGCCGGCTGCGGCCGCCTGCCGCTGCTGCCCGGCGCGGTGCAGCGCCAGGCTGCGGCTGGCAACACGGCGTTCAGCGACCCACGCAGCGAGCTCACCTGCAACAACAACAACTACGACGCCACTTGTTGGTCCGTCGTGCCCAGGAAGCGCGCACGGATCATGGAGGGGCACCGCGCGCTGCTGCCCGTGCCGCAGGCGTACGCGCCCGGAGGCGGAGAGGATGCCCAGGGCAGCAGGGTGCTCTGCTCCGGCGCCGCGTCCACCAGCGGACGCCCGGCGGCGGCAGGCACCGCGGCGGTGTCGCAGTCGCAGCACGGCGTCCTGGCCCACCTCTACCGCCACAGAGTCGAGGTCGACGCGCTCGTCCGTATCGAGGTGCGCTGCGTGCGTGCGTTGGCTTCTCAGCGCCGAACGAACCCGCCTCTAACTGTTTAGGCATCACATCAGACTGACTGACTGACTCCCTCCCGCGCGGCGCATGCATGCAGAACGAGAGGCTGCGGGCGGGCCTGGAGGAGGCGAGGCGCCGGCACGTCCGGGCCGTGGTGTCGGCCGTGGAGCGCGGCGCCGCGCGGCGCCTGCGGGCGGCGGAGGCCGACCTTGCGCGCGCGCTGGCGCGCAATGCGGAGCTCGGCGAGAGGGTCCGTGAGATGGGCGCCGAGGGGCAGGCGTGGCAGGGCATCGCCAGCGGCCACGAGGCGGTCGCCGCGGGTCTGCGCGCCACCCTCGAGCAGCTCCTCCTCCAGACGCCGTGCGCGGGAGCGGCTGACGAGGAGGGCCAGGGAGAGGTGGAGGACGCGCGGTCGTGCTGCTTCGAGCCGGAGCGGCAGGAAGGCGCGGCCGACGACGACAAGGCCCGTGGCAGTGGCACGAGGGCGGCGTGCCGGGCGTGCGGCGCGGCGGAGGCGTGCGTGCTGCTGCTGCCGTGCCGGCACCTGTGCCTTTGCGGCGGGTGCGAGGCGGTTGTCGAGGCGTGCCCCGTGTGCGCGGCCACCAAGAACGCCTCGCTCCACGTCCTCCTCTCCTGACCTCATCGGCACCGGCACGGCAGGCCAGCGTATACAACTAGTGTAGATTCCTTTGGGTTGGTTTGCTCGTGCATTTCATTCAACCTTTTCCTCTTGTTTCTCTTGCAATCTTCATGAGCCATTAACCAACCGATGTTTTCTTATGGGTTGCCTTTGCCTCCCCTCCGAGGAGACTCCATCTTTCGGTGGTGTTGGATATTGGATGGGATTAGTGGAGTCGTTGAACTTGATGGGAACAGATTCGATCAATTTGCTCCGTTGAGGCAATCCATCGACATCATTTGGTACCTGCACGCCTTTTTTGTTTATATATACGTACTCACGTACGTCCAGGTGCAGGTCAGGTGACCCAACATTTTTTGTGTTGTATACAATGCTGCAAGCAGCGTAAAATGCAAGCAAGGGGAAACGCATTTTAGTTTCGCTTATAGCAGCATCGTCACTGACTAGTGACTAGTTGCTGTGATGACAGTGGAATGCCCGCCGTCCAGCACTTAGTTGTACAACGGCTTGACAAACTTTCGCTGAGACAAGATCCCTATCTTCAGAGTTCAGATAAAAAATGTTTTTTTCTTCTTTTGTTTTTATCCTGTGATGAGGTATTGGGGATATTTGTCACTTGTCAGATGTTTGTCTAGTGAAACGCCCTTCGTTTCATCAGTACCAGGGGCCTGTTTAGCATAGCTCAACTTCATTAGTAAAACTGTTTTTTTAAACAGCTCCATGAGTCTTTCTAGATAAAGTTGAGCTATTTTAAAAAAATTATTTGGCAAAACAGCTTCGTCAATAACTTTATATATGAATGGGAGAGATAAATGAGGGATAGAGCTAGGATAAAGTACTTTTTTCAGCTTCATCTCAACTCATATCTTTGTGAGAGGGGGGAAAAACAACTTCATGGGTGAAGCGGTTTTGTAAATAAGTGTTTGACAAATAAAACAGCTTACACCACCTCATAAAACTGTTATGAGCTGTACCAAACAGGACCTAGATTGCCATTCGCAACTTTTCACACGGAAACGGAAGCGTGAAACAGGAACAGCTGACCAAGAGAGAGATCGGCAAAATTGGGCTATGGTCAAAGCCATAAATTCTGCAGGAAAAAGATGCAGCTTCTTTACTTTGGAGTAAAATTTCCGTTCACATTTTCTGTGTGTTTCTGCGGCTGGGCCGTTGTCCTGGGGGCTGCTAGGGTCCACTCGCGGAGCGCGCGTGAGCAGACTAGCGGGCCGTTAGTTTAGTGCGGCGCCGTAATACATGGGCTCTGTACGTGAACAAGATACATGAGCTAGCTTGCGTCTTTTCTTCATTTTCACAAGTACATACGTGTACACGTACATAGTTTCTGCTTTCTTTTCTTTGCTAGCACAAATGAATGACAGCTAATAAACCAACTAGCTTATGATCCTTGTATATTAACAAGCTATATCATTGAGTGAAGACTTTAAACCGTATACTCGACTCACGTATACATCGAGTATGCAATTTTAGGGAAAATACATGAACGCCATATATACAAGCTGTCCGGCATGATGAACCAAACTAGGAGTAACTGTTAGCTTGCTTCTCTTATACTCCCTTCAATCCACGAAAGAATGCAATTCTCGCTTTTCGAGTTTAAACTCTGACTAAATTTATATAAAAAAGTGCAAACATTTATGATACAAAGTAACTATAATTAGATTAGTTATAGAATATATTTTTATATTAAATTTATTTGAAGACATAAGTGCTAATAATATTTGCTATAAACTTGATCAAACTTGAGCTTCTTTGACCAGCATGCACCTCATAATTATATTCTTTTTGCGGACGGAGATAGTATATTTATTAATTAGTACGCCCATGAAGATGCATGCATGCTTCTTTAGTGGCATATATATAATACGAGCCCATGCACATATGAACACGTTACATATGGTTACATTTATTTTGAATATTTTGTACAAAATTTCATCAAACAATAATATTGTTTTAGACAAAAATATACCATGTGACATATCATGGAATATGAAAAAAAATATGTAAGAGATAAAACAAATAAAAAAGATAGTAATCAAAAGTAATAGATAAATATAAGGAAGGAAAAAACTAAAACACCAAAGAACACCACATAGAAATAGAAACTACTTAAACAACCTAAATATACCATAAAACATTTTACGGATACTATGTGGATACACAAAGATAATCGTGAAACATCTCATTTATTTGATGTGAACATTCTAAAAACATCACAGAACATGACATGTATATCATGTGAACATCAAAAAACATCATAGAACATCCTGAACATCATCAAAATACATTATAGAACATCACATCTATATTACATGAACATCACATGTATATTACATGAACATCACAAAACATCACATGTATATGTGAAAAGCACAAAACACATCATTGATCATCACATGTATGCTACATGAACATCATAAAATACATCACAGAACATTAAATATATATTACGTGAACATCACAAAATAGATCATAGAACATCATATGTATACTACGTGAACATCACTGAATATATCATAGGACATCGTATATATACTACGTGAACATAACATGTATATAACACGAACATCACAAAATACTAACAAAACATCACATGTATAATGCCTAAACTTAAAAAACATAATAGAACATCATATGTATACTACATGAACATGTAAAAATACATTATAGAACATCACATGTATGCTACGTGAACATCACAAATTTATATCATAGAATATATCATAGAACATCACATGTATAACACATGAACATCACATTTATATTGATCATAGAACATCACATGTATAGTACATGAACATCACAAAATACATCATAGAACATCACATATACACTACGTGAACATCACAAAAAATATCTTAAAACTTCATATTTATACTACGTAAACATCACAAAACACATCATAGAACATCACATATATAATACGCGAACATCACACTTATCTCATATAATATAGAAAATAAAAAATAAAATAAAGCAATTAATTAGAGTAAATAACTTAGAAAAAATCACATAGAAACATGAATAACAAATAAAAAATATATGGAAAAAATAAACCAATGAATAACTTAAATAAGGAAGGAAAAAAGAAATTTTAAAAATTATATGATATATGTATCTTATGTAACATATGAAATGAAAAATTTTAAAATAAAAAAACAAAAATAGTTCATATAGTAATTAAAAAAGAAACAATTAGAAAAATAGAAAAGAAAAGAAAAAATAGATAGATATAGAAAAAACAAAAGATTAAGAAAATGAAAGAGAAGGAAAAACCACATGAGAAAGAAAAGGAAAAGAAATATAAGAAAGGAAAGAAAAAAAAATAAACGTACCAACCTCTGGGTGAACATAGAAAACAAAAATGGAATAAAAAAATAATTAGAGTAGAAGAAAAAAGAAATAAAAAATAAAATGAAAATAATAATAAAAATCACATAAAGCAAAAAAGTAGAGAAAATAAAATAAATAAATGAAGCACGAAAAGGAAAAAAAGAAAAAGAAAAAAAAAAAAAAGAAAAGAAACGGGAAGAATAAGGAAATATAAATAAATAAAAAAGGAAGAGTCTGTCTACCCAATAACCATGTGTTTTATGCAGTTTAAACACATGATTTTTTTTTGCACCATAGAATTAAAATCCAACAGCCTCCATCCTCCTTCTACCTCTAGCATTCTTCTACCTCCAGCCTTCTTCTACCTCCAGACAATTACAAATTATAAGATTACAGATCCACATATCACAAGAAACAATTTTTTCTATGCAAGAACAAAAGGATAAATCGGGTCCGGCCGCACGCGTATACGTAGAGGACCGGCGGGTTCGTGCGGCCCTGAAGCGCGTCCGCGCCGTCTAGACTCCAGAGTGCTCGGGGCCCGCAGGGCAGGAAGGTGGATGGGGCAGCGCGGGTCGGTGAGGGAAGGGAGGAATCTGCTGCTCACGTGAGCGTGCACGCCTGCCTCTACCTGCAGCAGCGCTGGTGACCGTATGTCCGTATCCGTATCCGTATCCATATCTCTCTCCGACCAGACAAGCCAGGAAACGGAAGAAAAGAGAGGGACAAAAAAATCCGTGTGTTTTTTTTTTTGTTAAAACACATGTGTGTTGTATAGCATTTCTGAAAAGGAAAACTAAAATAAGTCTATGTATATAGACACGTACAGGCTAATCAAGCAAACTTCCTCGCTCGCTGGCTTGTACACGAAAGAGAAAGAAAAATGACAACTCTTACGGTCCACGCGGCCCATATACGTAGCTGCGACGTGCAAACGAGAGCGCGGGAAGGCACCGTTCGGCGCGAGATTCGAGTCCGGCCGTTCGGACCGAAGATTTCCGGTTGTCCTGCACTCCTGCTCCCGCGGTTTCGATGCGAACTGTTTCACACGAACTCAGGCAGAGCGCCAACACACGAGGATCGAGGAGGCGAGTAATCCATGCAGCAGCCGCGGTCACCTCTTCGCCAGCGGCCGATCAATCCATGCAGTTAGTGGTAAAAAAAAAACATGCAGTTTCAGCTCTCCTCTGGTTGATTGTTCCTGAAAACAGGCTAACACCTGAATTTTTGCAGTAGTACAGGATCGTCGCCGAGAAAGTAGAGTTTACTGTACTCCTATAGTGCGGTGAAGTAGAGGCAGGCAACAAACCAACCACTAAAACCGTTGTCTGAAACTCGACAGGAAAACGTGCCAGTAACTGGTAGCAACAGCCAGGACGGACGGAGACGGACAGCCGGACAGGCGATCGGCGATCGGCGATCGGCAGCAGCTACCCATGCCGGCTGGTGACCGATGGACGACAGTCATAATGAGTTGCCCTGTAGCCTGTACTGAGACGGACGACTGCGAGATCCGCAGATGCTGTTGGGAGACCCCACGGTCCCACACACAGCACGCATCAATGGCTCCGGCGGTCCGGCCACGACGACGGCGATGGTGCTAGCTGCAGATGCTGCCCCCTCGCCCACACAACAGCGAGGCGACC